TTAGTTTGTTTAGTTTTGGGTTTTAAAAAAAGTTCTTAGAAAATTTTACATTTTATTTTTTGTATTTTAATGTTTTTATAAATTTTTAATATTTTAAGTATTTTTTAATTTTTAAACGCACTTAAACATAAATACACTTAAAAAGCAAAATATTTTTTAAAAAAATATTTTTAAAAAAACACAAATACCAAAAAAACAAAAGAAATATGAAAATTTAGTATATTTTTTTGTATTTTGTGTATTTATTAATTTTTTTATAAATATTTTTTACAAATATTTTACTATTTAGGTAATCTAAGTAGCGTCTAAAAACGTAAAAAAAAAAATACTTAAATTTAAAAATATTCATAAAAAAAAACTTAATTTTCAAAAAACAAATTAAAAAACCTAAAACCAACTACTGAATGTGATATAAATAAATTTAAAATTTAAAATTAATTTTAATCATTTCCCCAAATGGCGCCCACTGTCTTTCAGTGTGTATCAACTTTTTCATATTCAAGTTTCTCTTAATATTTTATTTTGGGGCATTTGAAGAATAGTTAAAGTTCTCAAAAAAAAAAATATGAGAAATAATGTGATCTAAAATGGATTAAAAAAATTGGCTTTTGACCCTTTTATTTTTATTATTTATTTTTTTTTAGCTTTCCAAATGAGCAGTTTTTTTACCAATTCCTGTCTTGCTGCTACAACGATTTCTAACTAAAAATATGTTGTTGTTCGAGGTTTGGCTAATAAAATTTGTGTGAACAAGGTATGCATTTACCCGTTTTTGTTTTCTATGCAATTTCATTCTGGAAGATATTGATGCCTCACTTGGCAAGTTAGTAAAAAGTTTAATTTTTAATTTTTTTAGTAAAAAAGTTAATTTTTTTATTCAAGTCATTATTCAAAAGTTAATTTTTTTGTTAAAAAGGTTCAACAAAATTTAATTTTTTACAACTTTTTTAAACACCACTGGAATATGTGAAAATTGAGTAACGTATAAAAATTCAAGTGATGTATAAAATTTAAAAAAAATGTAAAAAAATAGGAAGTTGATGTGATCAAAAATATTAAAAAATTAAAAACTAACTTTCTACCCAATGACAAGATAGACCTTGATAAGGATGCAGTTGACAAAAAGTGAGTTACCATACACTTTAATTGAATATATTAAACTGTATTTAAATCAAAAAATTTAGAGAAAATTTTAAGCCACCCTTCCATACCAAAATAAGGTTATCACAAAGAAAAATGTTTGAGGGTACAAAAAGTGTAATCTTAAATGGCCTTAAAACTGTCAAATGACATCGTTTGGCTTCGTTTCACCCAAAACGATATCGTTTTAACAATTTGAGCCATTTGAGCCATATTTTTTGTGATCCTCTATCATTACTCGTTATACAATCATGACTAATTCGTTCTTTTCAAGATCCTAGGCCAATTCTTAAAAATGGGACTTTTATCACAAACATTTTTTTGTTTTTTTGGGAATAAATGATTAAATTCTTATAATTTTATTTTTTTCAGTACCCAATGAAGTGTTTGTTTATATTAATCATTTAAAATTAGGAATAAAATTACAAAAACTCTTAAGATTTGGTGGTTAAAATATAGGTTGTCTCTTACAGTTTTGAAAATTACACACGGATCCCGTTATTAAAATTTGTTATTTAACAAAATTTAATAAAAAGGTAAAATCCTAACTACCCTACTATATAACATAAAATTACTTGAATTATTAATCGAAATATATTTTTATCATTTAAAAATTGTCAATTGATTTGTTAAATTTATTATTAAAATTGGCCATTTGTTGTACAACTAAAAACTTTGAAGAGATGAATGTAATTTTTTCAAAATTAATTATGAACAATTTGTATTTTAAACAAATCTCAAATTGATGTATTTATAATTTACTTTAAAATTAATATAACAAGACATGAAAAAAAAAAATAAAAATTACAAAGACTCAAAAAGATGAAAGTATGATTTGGTTGTTAGTTTGGACAAAAAGTGACTTATATAGCAGCAGATTTAAAGAGGGAACTGGTGGTAGGGGTGTAATTTTTGGCCTGGCCTGGCTTGGCCCATCTGGGCTCGGGCCGACCTGTCCCATGTCGGGCCTCACAGGCTCCCGCCAAAAATCGAGCCGGCTCGGGCCCGACCCACGGGCCAACAAAAACTAAGCCTAGGACCTATAGGTATGTGGGCTTTGGGCGGGCCAATGGACCGGCCTGCGAGCTGGGCCTCTGAGCTTGGCTTGCGGCTCGGGCTTTGGGCGGGCCTAAATAAATTTTTTTTATTTTTTATTTTTTCCACTAAATTTTATATTTTTCATAAAATAATACTTGGCATTCGGGTGCGGCCTTGAGCGGGCCACGACCGGGCTAGGCTTTCAAAACAATGGCGCCAGGCCCTGCCTAAGGCCTCGGCTGGGCTTGGGCTCGGGTCTTAAACAGGTTTAACGGGCAGGGTCGACCTCGCGGCCTCGTGCAGGCTTCGAGCCGCTGCTGGCCACGGGCCTAAAATTACACCCCTAACTAGGTGTCTCCTGGGTTTTGGAAATTTATTTTTCTTGTTGTTTTTTCTTTTTTATTTAACAAAAAAAATACATGCTTTAAATAAAAAATTTACAAAATTATATCATAGCTGAAATACTCAATGATATTTTTTAAATTATAAGAATATAATCAGTGTGTTTGGTTTGAGTTTTTTGGATTAAGTTTTTTGAAAATTGATGATTTTTGATTTTCGCGTTTTTTTTTGTTTTAAGTGAATATTTTTAAAATTTTAAACTTTTTTTACTTTTTTAAAATGCACCTTACTTAATGTATCTAAAAAGTAAAAAAATTGTGAAAAAAAATATTTAAAATAATAAAACATAAAAAATATAAAAAATATTGAATTCTCATTTTTTTTTTTGGTATTTTAGTGAATTTAAAAAGGTTTGTACAATTTTTTACTTTTTCAGGGTATAATTTATGTTAGGTATGTCAAA